CGAGCAATTTTCCCTGTAATCCTGAGGTAGCCGGGTTGGACCGCTCCCAACTGGTTTGCATAGAGTGATTTTTTCGCAGACAAGTCGGTACTAATTTCCCGATCGAGGCAGGATGAGAGGCTCGATGAACCTGGAGCTCGCGAATCGATCCTATGTGTATTGCAGGCCGCCTCCGACCACTGCGCTTATATGTGCCCCTAAGTAGACATATTGTACTATGGAAATCGATCTTTTTGCGCATATAGACGTTTGAACTAGCACCATGCTCGTGATGAAGGACATCACTACCACTGCGCTATCCATCGTTTATTGAAAATTAAAAATTATAAATTTATGAAATTTATCTCTCGCTTTGTTACTGCACACCATTTTAAAACCTATTGCTTGTTTAGTTGCTCAATAACTTTTTTCTTTTTTTTCTAACAACGAGCATTGTTGGAGCCGTTTTGCTGTTGACAGCGACCGTCTGCAGCTGATAGTCGAAGGTGATCCTTGAAAAACTATTGGAGAGGTTCGCGATCGTTAACCATTCAACAGGCGTTCATCATTTCAAAGGAAATCTAAGACTGAAAGAGATCGACAGATGAGTGCCGCACAATTTCTGGAAAAACCATGGAGTCTATTCTAAGCTTCATCTAGACAGGAACTTTGACTGTATTTACTATGACGTTCAAAAGTTATACCTTGGCCGATGACGTCATCAGGTGATGGTTATATTGAATTTTTATGATATACATATGGAATCATCCGCAAAAACGCTCTGAATATTAGCAAAAGTATCGAAATGAATAAGTAAATATTTCTGGAAGTCGAGAACATGTTACAAGAGCTGAAACCTTTGCGACAGTATCAATGAGTTTTGTTGCGCGACGACATCCAACCTTACAGAGGTTGAACGAATCGAACTACGAAGCCCTTCTTTATTTACCCTTCTGCTCTCGTAACCAAATACCACTTCTTTAAGCATCTCAACAACTAATAGCTGAAAACATTTTCAAAACTAAATCACTGCCATTAGGCTTAGTGATTTAGTGACTTAGAAAATCTTATCGCTTCCAGAACTTAAGAATTTTGAGCTACACAAGTAATTAAATTTTCATGTTGTCAGCAAAAATGCCTTTGTTATGGTTCCTATCTGGATAAGTAAAATTTCATTCGAGTGGAGTTCTAGCATTTCAAAGCTGCTCTTCAGAATCAGCTATTTCCTTTATAATCTCAAAGAATAGTATCAGTGATACACATACTTGAACGACTCGTCTTCACATGTCGTGCTGGTCCTAGCACTTCCGTTTGTTTCGTTCTCTCGCAACTATCATCCATAGCAATCCTGGAGCTTTATATAGCTTCGGCTGCAAATTAGGACTTTGTTGTCTTTCCACTAGTACATTGAAGGCTAGTCGATCGCGATTTTCCCTTGAAATACGAGATGTCTTGGCTAAGTCTCTCAGGCCGTCACTACAAGCTACCACCACCACTACTAGCAATTGTCGATTGAAAAGAAATTTGTCACCTTGCAACGCGGGCTCTTCTAGGACGACAGGATATCAGCAAATCCTATGATTAGTGGACTAATCGCTCAAGAAAGATGTAAGGCAAGTCGAATGCAATAGTACTAACGATAATGGGAATAATAATCAGCCACCTTGATACGCGAATAGTTCACCATTCACCCTATCACCATTCGAATCAAAGTGCTGGACTAATCGCAATTGGTCGATGTTTATCAGGCTGAGGAAATTTTTTGTAGTGCTGAGATAGTCGTGCCAGGTGCTGCCCACCACAAGCCATCGTTGGCTGTTCTGGATAATCTGGATAAAGTCGAGACTTATTGTTGAGTTCCATATGAAAATGTCGATTTCCTCATCCTGGATGGCCTTATCGCTGATGAACACCCTGCTGTACATTACAATTTGTCATTAGTGGAGAACTAATTGAGCGAAATACTCTTGTCATCAGACCGCGTTTCACCCAACGGAGCTCTAACCTCAGATTTCATCCTATATTTCCAACAGGCTTTTTTTCCCAAATGATATATGATTCAGTTGTTCTTTTTATTGTTATTCCTTTTCACCGTTTTTCTTGCCGCTTGAAATGGGTAAGCCTGTGTCTGGTCCGTTATGTCTTCCTCTATTAGTAAGATTGTCCTTTCCTATACACCTTTTTAAAGAGAATAATAGTTTTTTTTTCGTATTTTCATCCTTTGCGTAATCAATAATATCACCATTAATGGTTAGTTTCAATGCATTTTTTATATCGACATCTGACCGCCTTCCCAAATACTTAGCAAAACCATTCACGCACTTGTAATAGTTCCTAGGATCGACTTTCTCTTAACCTCGGCATTGGAATATGAATGTGTCGTTTTCTTGTTCAGCAATCGCGAGGTTTTTAAACAGCATACATTTACTTCCATAAAAAACACAATACAATACAACGCTAGCTGACGTTTCGGCAGTATCGCCTTCTTCAGAGCCTGGAAGGGTATACTGATATACAATCTACTAGGCCAAACGCTTCAATAACACTTACATAAAGACGAAAGACTCTTTGGTAATTACATGATCAACAACTTCTCGAAAAACCCACCACTTTTTTCGTGACTTCCAATGAGGAAGTATAGAACAGCTGATTATAGTCGCATGTGGTTGACGACTGCACCATCCCACATCAAAAATCGATGCGAACGTACGGGATCAGGTCGCGTATAACCTCCGGGCATTCATCCCTGGCAAAAAAATCCCCCTTGTGACCAAATGATTTCCTTTGTTTGTCACTATTTCCTGAAGCGCGTGTAGTGCAGTGGTTGGAGGCGCCCTGCAATACACACGGTATCGACCTCGGTACCCGTGGCCCACCAAGCCTTCCATCGCTCCGGGACCGGCAAATTGGTACAAGACTTGCCTGGGAGGATGGCAGCACTGACTCGAAACATCGGTAGGCAACCGCAACTCACTGTAAAGGCCAGATATGCATTCAATTACCTCTAACGGTGCGTACTGAAGTCGAGTGCATGGTGCATGTCCCAGGAATTGATCAACGGCGAGAGCTTTATCCTTTGTTTTGATTTTCTGGAAAAGATCAGTAGAACTTACTTGCTTCTTTCCTCCTGTTTTTCCTCATGTTGTAATAACATGGAACCTGAGGAGTACTCAATGCGGCAGCACAATTGATTTTCTGTTAGTTATGACTTGTCATTACATACTGCTTAAGTCCAATTATTTCTTTCATCCAGTCTGTTGTCTCACCATCAGCAGTCGTCTCGGGTGTTTAGATTTGCGTATGGGTTAGCTTGAGAAGCTTTTTCTCTTCTCTGTAAGTGCTATTGAATACTAGTCGAGCGCGATTCTTCCTGGAAGCTTAGAAAAACTGTGTTAATTTATTTACCTGTTTTTATGCATTGGAACGAGCTTTCCCAGATAAGTGTGGTGCCAATATGTCGACCCCAGCTGCTTAGTAGAAGGGCTTGATAAGCCAAACACGGGGATGAACCAATAATCATACGTGGTATTGCAGGTTATCTCTGGCTACTACGCTGCATGCACTCTGGCAAAACATAAAAAAGGATAAAGCTTTCGTCATTGGTCATACCCTAAGGAATGCGCTATGCATACTTCTTTATTGAGTATCGTTAGGATTAGATGAATGCGTCTCTGGACTATAATGACTCGCGGTAGGCTACCGGTATATGGAGTTAGTGCTGCTATCCTCTCAGGCAAGTCTGATACCACTTTCCCGACCTCGGAGTGAAGGAAGGCTGATGAGCCTGGGGCAAGGGGTCGAATCCATGTGTATTGCAGGTTGTTAGCAACTGCTCTAAACGCTCCCATTGGCAAAAAATGTGGATTAAAAAAGTTCAAAACTCTATTGTATATGTATTCTTTCATTGATAAGCTAACACGAGATGACCTAACCTTGTGTTAATCTAACCTCGAGTTACCTTGTCAGTGAAAGAATACACATTGACAAATCAAGCCGAGGTTAAAGGAAAGTCTAGGAAAGGAATCATGTAATTTTAAGATTGGGATGTGCCTCATAGTGGTATGAAATTAGGTATTTAATCCATTTGTTCCTTATCTAGGTTTTGCATGTCCTTCGCACACGACTTCTGACCGTCTCCGTCTTGATACCTTTGCTCGCCGTTTGTTCAGTCACGCTGAAGTATGTCCTTTCACGCGACTCCTAACCGTCTACGTCTTGATTGATTCGCTAGCCTTTTGTTCAGTCGCACTGAAGTACGTCCTTTCACGCGACTTCTGACCGTCTACTCTGAAGATCCAGAGGGCTGATCTCGTGCATTTCTCAGCGGCGGAATGAAAGCAAACGCCTTTCTTTTCGGTAGTTTATTGCTATAAATCTCCATCCATTAACGATTGCCACTTTACTTACTACAACTGTACTATTCAGAGTAGCGAACTAAAATCCTGTCCATTCCCTAACAGTTTCTTCAACGAAAGGTTTACTTGGGAAAACTTTATTTCTAGAATACGATAACCGCTGAATTTCCGTAGTCACAGAATCATGACGTGTAGAATTCTCAATGTAGGCGGCATTGGCGACGTGTAATGGGTTTTTTCTCTTACGTTTTCTTATCGTCTTTACTTTCTTACAACACTATCGAACGTTGCCGTTACACGATTGTTTACTTTCTTCGAGAGTTACTTCTGTTAGCTTACAAGTAGTTTTTCGTTTGGTCGTCAAGCCCGTATCGATTTTACATGTACTTCACTCGAGCGGGCGCACGTTGTTGTCTTATAGAGTTTCCTGCGCTCCATTCAAAGTGTCCAGTAGGTTTCTTAGGTTCCTTTTCATCCCAAGGATCTTTGTAAGACATGAAAACTTTTTTCACTAGTAAAACTAGAAGTAATTACGATCGTAGGCTTTCAAAAATTGTGTCGTTTAAGTCGAATGGATTCGACTTATGTGGTTTGTTGTTCATATTTTGGCAAGTGGAAGCCTTAAACATTCCATGGAAACGTTTCAGGGTATCCAGCATCGTCGAGATGGTCACAAAAGCGAAGAACAAGAACAATCGACGAAAATCTATTGGTATTATCAAGAATAGTGTGAAGAAGGTGGACTTCAGTGAGGAAAAATCGAAGACTGGCAAGTGGGTTATCGAAATCTGAACGATTTTACTAAATAGAATTCGTTTTTGCCTAGCTGTTTGTTAACACATGTATGATTTTTCTGGATGTACAATGGACTTTCCTTGTCTGCCGTTTCCTGATTTGCGCGTGTAGCGCAGTGGTTACAGGCGCCCTGCAATGCATGGGATTAAACCCCGCACCCGTGGCTCTCCAAGCTTCCCATGCCTCAAGGGTCAGCAAATTGGTACCAGACTCTTCCTGGTGGATAGCAGCACTTGATGGATACATCGGTAGCCCACCGCAAGTCATTGTGAAGGCCAGACATGTATTCATTCACATCCAACGATGCTTAATGAAGTCGAATGCATGAAACATCTCTCAGGGATTGATCAACGCCGAGAGTTTTATCCTTTTTAGCTTTTACTGTTTTCTGTCTTGTACTGGTTACTCACTTTCTAGTGGTCATTCGTCAAATGGTGGACTCAAGCCTTCACCGTCGACAAATACGTTGAACAGACTTGCACGAGAGAAGATCGTTCTCTGGAGACAACCGTTCACCACCACATATTATGCACTTATGGAGATTTTTAATTTATTCTTAGAGTTCTTAACGGGGTTAGTTGTTTTCTTGTTTCAGGCTTATCTACGAGTCTTTTTTTTCCCTAAGGCTTCTTCTTAACATCTATATTTGATTCATTCTGCATTGGATTTTTTGCTTAATCACTAGTTTTAGGCTGCTTCACCACAAAGCTATATTAGTGACGTTTTTCATACTTTTCTCTGTGTTCTACTATGTCTATATAACCCCTGGGAAACATCAGCAACATATAGCAATCGTTGAAAACAAATTGATTTGGTATGTACTTCATCTATAGAAAATGCATATAGCCAGAATTTGACTTGCTATGGATTACGAGGGAGCTGTCATAAAGAGACTTGTTCAAAAAAGGAAACAAAATTGTTTGTTCTTCTCGTTTTTGTTTTCTGGATTTTGGGAATAGATAACGTGTAGAGGCACTACCGTTTAGGAGGATTGCTAGCTTCGAACCTTCGCGAACTTGCTAGGTTTTTTTCTGTAATGAGCAACAATTTCTTGAAGACTGGAAGACTTGATTCTGGACATAACACTATTGTAGAAGAGACTGCTCCGTCGTTCCATGAACATGAGTGGCATTCATGCCACTATATAGTATGTATTACGGGTCTATTTCAGTTTTTTTTATGCACTCACATTTCGTACAAGAACCGTGGTTCACCGTAAGGATTGTAATTAATTAATAGTTGTGTTGAAATTGTTGAGCTTACATGAAGTTTTCATAGAACTTAACTCGGCGAACGTTCCGACGTCTTCGTCTTCGTCAGAGTCGATGGTCCACAGCTGTTGCACACCGAGAAGAGGAACAACTACGGACCATCTGCTCGGATCATCGGCTCTGATGAAGACGAAAACGTCGGAACGTTAACCGAATAAAAGTTGTATAACAATTTCATGTAAGCTCAACAATTTAAACATATATTGATTAGTCACATGCCGAGGTTAAAGGAAAGTCGGTTTTGAAATAGCAATTATTTATTTGTCAAATTACCAATTAGTGAGCTTCTTCAAAGAAATAGGGTTTTTTTTAAATCGTCAAATGAAGAGAATTGTTTTCCTTATCCGACCTCGACTAAATTGATCTGATTTCGACTATGTCAATCGAATAATTGTGTATAGCCATAATGACGCCGAGATATTTGCAAAAATCCGGATCGCTGGTGTCTACAGTGGGTATTGAACCGTCTATACTACTAGTCTGAAAATGAACAGTACATATCCATATCGTCCACTCGCGCTACCACTTTTGAATGTATGCGTGTCTGTTATATGTTATACAAATGTAACATAGATAAGAGGTATTTCATATTAAAGTAGTCGTTCAGCTAATATTTTGCAAAAAGGTAGAAGTAGGAAGCCAAACAAATTTCGCTCTACGATTTTTCTTCATGAATAAATCCATTATAGGTGGGGTTGGTGGGTTTTCCTTGGTGTTTTATCGTCAATCGGTCTAGGAACTGGTCTGCACACCTTCCTTATTTATTTGGTACGAATTTTGATGTACTTTCTTAAAAAGATATGTTTTTAGTTCCCATTATGTTCCGTAATTTTTTCAAATCTGACAGTCGTAGCTTTAGGGACCTCACATCGCGGCGGTTACTCTGGCTGCTTACGAATGTAACAGTCTTAACTTTCCAGAACCACCTTATCCTGACAGGTAAACTTTTTCCCTGTTTTTTTTTTATTAAGCTCATTCTCTCTATGCCCTTATGATCAATGAAATCGTGTTGGCCGTAAATGTTGATGCATTTCAGTCCATGTTATTATATTGTACTAAAGTAAAACAAGTAGTTGCATTACCACAAGTCTCCATGAAGTAACCCGATCCTCTAAAAGTAGATTCTGAATGTCTTCCTAATGTACGCTGAAGTTACGCAGTGTGCACTGATCGGTCGAGGGATATGAATCCTCACAGCTTTGGAACCATCACTATTTAGTCCTGTTACTGTTGATGATAAGATAGGTAGAAGTAGCTCACCGAGCTCTGATGAAATGTACATTCACCGTTTTGGGTGTTCGGTTAGGAGCGTCGAACTGCTGAAGTTGAATAATACTCTTGAGGATGAGCACACTACTGCTCATTACATCTTGGAACACCAGAGCCACGGTGGTAGGCGGTGAAATGGCAAACTATGTAGCATTTGCAATTTAGTCTCGATTGCGCTATCGGATAAAAATAGCAGTTTTTTTGTAGTTAAGATAATTTGAGCGCTTTGTGACTCCTGAGGACTACGAAATGTTCGCTTGTTATTACTCTCAGTTGCTATTTGATGGAGTGACTATTTGTTTGATGATGGTTTTTCCTGTTTGGATGCGGGTCTGCAAAGGCATCCAAAGACTTTTTGTCTTATATTGAGTTGTGATAGGGCGTTTGTGGCGCAGAGGTTGGAGGCGACCTGCGACACCCATGTGGAATCGATCTCCGCATTCATGGTTCACCATACCTTCCATCCCTACGGGGTCGGCAAATTGGTACCAGACTTGTCTGAGAGGATAGCAGCACTGGCTCAATGCATCGGTAGGTCACCGCGAGTCATTGTAAAGGCCAGATATGCATTCAGTCACCTCCAACGATGCTTAATGAAGTCGAATGCATGGCGCATCCCTCAGGGATTGATCAACGCCGAGAGCTTCACCCTTTATCCTTTGTTGAGTTGTTTGCATTGCCACTTTTTAAGTTTTTCTTTGACAAGAGTGGGACAGCTCAATACTTTCTGATCTTGTATAGTTTAAACACTCCATTTTCTTCAATCTGGGGAGCATGAATCGGTATCGCACCCAGTTAAGCCGTAACTGCAGTTGAAATTACAATGTTTTGACTTTTATCCGTTTCCTATTATTTTTTTCGCACCAGGTATGACGTGATATACATCCACAGTGATCTTAGGATATTCCAGATCGTTCTCGTTGTTGGGTAATTACTGAGAGTACCTTTAGAGTAAAAAACTGGCTGAGGTGGATGCGAAGCAGGAGCCTTGATGGTGAAGTGGATAACGGATGAGTACCCGGGAAGACTAGTCGTGGGTTCGAAGTTCAACTGGGGTTCCGAATTTTGCTCATATCTCAGCATCATTGTGGTTGTATTCCACGTAATACCTTTCCGTGAAAAAATAATACTCTCGATACACGAACGGCCCGTCCTCACTGGTTGTTTGTGCCCCAGCATAATCACCGTTTTTCGGAAAGTTTTTGGTTAAGACGTGGCTCTCTGGAATCCTGAGGTCAGCCTGGCCAAAGTCCACTCCAGGTCTTCACCACCACGAGCAGTCGCAGTCCGTGTGGATCTGAGGGAGATTTACCACCACGCGACTTTGATACCAGGATGGTGACGGTTCCTGGTATTGGTTTATCCTTAGCTAGGCTTCCTGATGGAAACGCCGGACCCCTCAGTTTGGGAGACCCTGCCGGGGTAAGGATTCCCGCTGTACATTGTAGTTCGACACCCAGGAACGCTTCCCACCCACAATGAGGCGGTAAACCGTTTAGAGGAAAAAATTGATGAAAAAATGAAATAAAAAGCAATAGATTAGAGTTGATTATTCTATTCTCCAATATTACTTTTCCTTTCTTATCCTACTATATCGGTATTTCGTTATAGCATTGTGTGTCCGGATGGGAAATCAGATGTGAGTTCAGCGTCAGCCATTACTCTCTGGCAAATTGTTGCAAAAGTACGACCGTTCCTTTATTGGTGATGTATTACGCCTTTTATCCTCTTGGCCAGTTACTGAATTGCCATACAGGTTCGAGTAGAGTCGTTGCTGTGGGGTGCTGGTACGGCTCTTGGCGAATTGCCACCGTACTTCATGGCTCGTGCTGCTCGATTGAGTGGTGAGGAACCAGATGACGAAGAGTACAAAGAGTTTCTCCAGCTGATGAATGCTGACAAGAAGGGCGGCGTTGATGAACTAGTGAGAAGATTATTTAACAGTATTGTTAGCATTTATCGAAACCTTTATTTATTTCTATGTCTTACTAAGCACTATTTAGTCGTGGACTGATCGCGTAAAGGCTAGAATAGAACGATTCATCTCCAGAGTTGGTTTTCCTGGAATCCTCTTCTTCGCATCAATTCCAAATCCTCTTTTTGATTTGGCGGGTAAGTGGTAAATATTTGCACTTAAACCGGGTGCAACGGTTTGCCAAAGTAGTATTTAAATGTTATTCAGATTTTAATAGGTTTTGTGCATTTTATTATTGAATACATGGAAGTCAAGAGTGTATTTGTTCCATGGACACAGTGTTGTTAAAAAGGCGTATATTTCAGCTGGTGAAACTTTACTATGTCACCTAACAGTGGTCTTTATTCCATTCAATAAACTTGATTGAAATAAATACGACTTTATGAACCAATAGCAAGTTTTCTCATTCGGGCAAGATTAAATTCGGATTTTCTAAGGATGGCGATGCATACAGTTCTTATTTTTTTGTATCGAGGTCATATTTCGAACATAAAACAGCACACGATGGTGTCAATGCATCGTTTCTGTTTCCGACTGTTGCACCAGTATTTGAGATTTGAAAAGCCTAAATTTGGTTTCCGCTTTTAAAAATCACCTGCATTGCTATCAGTTTTCTGTAAGTTTTGGCACTAAACAGCTTTAAGGTGGATGATCTATGTTCAATCTAATGATTCTATTCGCCTATATCACCTGTACTGCCGTTGATCGTCGAGTGACTCGAGAGGGTGCCAGTAAATCTTCCATTTTTCCCGTGCTAGAGTAGCCCAGTGAGTTCTGCTCGCTCTAGAGGCTGGTCGAGCATCATATCTTTATTCAAGGCTCTTTATGAAGAACTCTGACCATCGGGCAGGTGGCCATTTGCAGTACGTTTGACATCCCGAGGAATCCAGTCACTAACGGCTCTTTTCTATCAGTTGTCATCCATCATTACGTGTCCGGCCCACCTTATCTTCGACTGTCTGGCGTACAGAACGGCATCTTTGATTCTTGATCGTTGACACAGATCGGAGCTTCGGATCCCATGTCTTACTTGTGTGGGACGGGATACTCCTAGCAGCGTCCTTTCGACTGCGCGTTCGATAACGCTGAGTGACCTCTTATTCTATTTACGCAGCGACCAGGTTTCTGACGCATACGTTAGGGCAGGAAGTACCGTTGAGTTGAAAAGGTGGGAACGGATTCGGATGTTCTTTGTTCTCTTCACTACATCCTCGATGCTCTTGAAAGCTCCCCAAGCCGCTCGTTTTCTTCTGCTCAGCTCTGGAGCTAGGTCGTTCATCATATTCATTTCCCGACCTAAATAGATATAACTGGAGCATTAATAGATATTCGTTCCGTTGAGCGTGAATGGGGAATGTGGAACCAATCCGTTTTTCATGAACATCGTTTTTGTGAGATTTAGTCAAGGACCAATCTTTCCACAGGCTTTATCAAAGTCGTCAAGCATACGTTCCGCTTGGCTAATGACCTCATGGCGCACCAAGCCTTGTTTCCCTCGGCAAATTGGTGCGAGACTTGTCTAAGAGGATAGCAGCACTGGGTCGATACATCGGTAGTCCACTGCCAGTGCGAGTCAT